AGCCTGATCAACACGGTGAAACCCTGTCTTAAAAAAAAAAAAAAAAAAGGCCGGGCGCGGTGGCTCAAGCCTGTAATCCCAGCACTTTGGGAGGCCGAAGCGGGTGGATCACGAGGTCGAGAGATCGAGACCATCCTGGTCAACATGGTGAAACCCCGTCTCTACTAAAAATACAAAAAATTAGCTGGGCATGGTGGCGTGTGCCTGTAATCCCAGCTACTGAGGAGGCTGAGGCAGGGGAATTGCCTGAACCCAGGAGGCGGAGGTTGCGGTGAGCCGAGATCGCGCCATTGCACTCCAGCCTGGGTAACAAGAGCGAAACTCTGTCTCAAAAAAAAAAAAAAAAAAAGTGAAAACTCTTTCCAGAAATTCTCTGACATTTTTCTTCTAAGGCAGAGGTAGTATAGCCAGGAAGACACTGGAAATTTCAGAGACTGAAGCTCTAATCCTGGCTATGCCACTAACTTTGTGATCCCAGGTAAACTTCTTAACTTCTTTAGGGACCAGTTTCTGCATTTGTTTTTTTGTTGTTGTTGTTGTTGTTTGTTTGTTTGTTTGTTTTTGAGATGCAGTTTCACTCTTGTTCCCCAGGCTGGAGTGCAGTGGTGCAATCTTGGCTCACTGCAACCTCCGCCTCCTGGGTTCAAGCAATTCTCCTGCCTCAGCCTCTCAAAGGCTGGGATTACAGGCACTGCACCACCACACCCAGCTAATTTTTGTATTTTTAGTAGAGAGGGGGTTTCACCATGTTGGTCAGGGCTAGATTATAGGCAGAGCCACTGTACCTGGCCAGCCCTGGTACTTGGTTTACAACTGATCTGTTAAATGCTTTCTACTCTACACCTTTTAGAAAAGACCACCAGACAGAGTTTTCTTTTAGTTGGCAGGGCTGCAGTACACCTTCATGTTGCTACCTCAGGGCTCCACTTGAGTCTCCAGCCTCTGTCATAATCTACTCTGAGGAGAGGCACATGTGGTGAGGAACCGAGGCATCTTGCCAACAAGCGACAACTTGTAGTGTGTGCCTGGGGTCCCAGCTACTTGGGAGACTAAGGTGGGAAGATGATTTGAGCCCAGGAGGTGGTGGCTGCAGTGAGCTACAGGTCATGCTGACACACTTTAGTCTGGGTGACAGAGCAAGGCACTATCTCAAAACAAGCCAACAAACAAAAAAAACAGAAAAAGCAGGCCAGGTGAGGTGGCTCATGCCTATAATCCCAGCACTTCGGGAGGCCAAAACAGGTGGATCATGAGGTCAGCAGTTCAAGACCAGCCTGGCCAAGTTAGTGAAACCCTGTTTCTACTAAAAATACTAGCCAGGTGCGGTGGCAGGTGCCTATAATCCCAGCTACTGGGGAGGCTGAGGCAGGGAATTGCTTGAACCCAGGAGGCAGAGATGGTAGTGAGCTGAGATCACACCATTGCCCTCCAGCCTGGGAGACAGAGTGAGACTCCATCTCAACAACAACAACAACAACAAAAAAAACAGAAAAAGCAACCAAGTCTCATGGGATGTATTGATTTGCTTTAGCAACAAAGTTATACCTAGAACAGCAGCTGCAATTGGAGTCACCAGGCTTTGGATAACCCATTTTCATTCTCCTATGTCCGTCAGTCTGCTGACAGGCAAACAGGTGATTTGAGCAGGGATATGGTAGGGATTATCACCTCCGTGTCTTTCAAGACCTTGTTGGCGGCACTAATCTCTTCAATCCTTCCAGAAATGTGATATTGTTTTTTGTTTACTTTTTTTAGTACGTAGACACAGTTCTAGGGGATTCCACTTGGACTTTTCTTTTTTTTTTTGAGACGGAGTTTCGCTCTCGTTACCCAGGCTGGAGTGCAATGGCGCGATCTCGGCTCACCGCAACCTCCGCCTCCCGGGTTCAGGCAATTCTCCTGCCTCAGCCTCCTGAGTAGCTGGGATTACAGGCACGTTCCACTTGGCCTTTTCTATCATGATAGCCTTCATTCCATGGGTCAGAGAACCAATACGAGGACTCTACCAGTTGCTGAGTATGTCTACTCAGATACCTACTGAATATATCTAAACTGCAACGCGTAACCACGCGTGCATTCTGGAACTGGGGAAATAATGATGGGATGAGATCTGGGAACCACTGGGCTTGCTGTAAAATGGAGCCAAGCCGGGCCGGGCGCAGTGGCTCAAGCCTGTAATCCCAGCACTTTGGGAGGCCAAGGCGGGTGGATCACGAGGTCAAAAGATCGAGACCATCCTGATCAACATGGTGAAACCCCGTCTCTACCAAAAATACAAAAAATTAGCTGGACATGGTGGCGCGTGCCTGTAATCACAGCTACTCAGGAGGCTGAGGAAGGAGAATTGCCTGAACCCATTAGGCGGAGGTTGCAGTGAGCCGAGATCGCGCCATTGCACTCCAGCCTGGGTAACAAGAGCGAAACTCTGTCTCAAAAAAAAAAAAAAAAAATGAAGCCAAGCCAAAACTTCAAAGATCATCTGACTTCCACGAGCCCCTACTCTGACAATAGGACACTGTGCCATTTTGGCTCTCCAGGGATTAGCACCAGTTCTGAGCCAAGGTTACTAACTCCTAAATATCTGGTCATTTTCTCTGCTCAAAGCACAGTCACCTGGTGTAATCGCTACAGGTCTCTTTGAGGAAACGCTAAGAAGAAGCTTTACAGTATAACTTTTTGACATTGTAGCAAATCCTTCCTCAAAGGGTCTTTCCTTCATTCAAGGGGCCTGGGTATGGGGACTGTCTCTAATCTAAAAATTGATTAAAAGGCTTTTACTCTTTTTTTTTTTTTTTTTTTTTTTGAGATAGAGTTTCGCACTTGTTACCCAGGTTGGAGTGCAATGGCGCGATCTCGACTCACCGCAACCTCCGCCTCCTGGGTTCAGGCAATTCTCCTGCCTCAGCCTCCTGAGTAGCTGGGATTACAGGCATGTGCCACCATGCCCAGCTAATTTTTTTTTTTTTTTTTTTTTTTTTTTAGACGGAATTTCGCTCTTGTTACCCAGGCTGGAGTGCAATGGCGCAATCTCGGCTCACTGCAACCTCCGCCTCCCGGGTTCAGGCAATTCTCCTGCCTCAGCCTCCTGAGTAGCTGGGATTACAGGCACGTGCCACCATGCCCAGCTAATTTTTTGTATTTTTAGTAGAGACGGGGTTTCACCATGTTGACCAGGATGGTCTCGATCTCTCGACCTCGTGATCCACCCGCCTCGGCCTCCCAAAGTGCTGGGATTACAGGCTTGAGCCACTGCTCCCGGCCTAATTTTTTGTATTTTTAGTAGAGACGGGGCTTCACTGTGTTGACTGGGATGGTCTCGATCTTTTGACCTCGTGATCTACCCACCTCGGCCTCCCAAAGTGCTGGGATTACAGGCTTGAGCCACCGCACCCGGCTTCTTTTTTTTTTTTTTTTTTTGAGACGGAGCTCTTGTTACCCAGGCTGGAGTGCAATGGCGTTGATCTCAGCTCACTGCGACCTCCGCCTCCTGGGTTCAAGCAATTCTCCTGTCTCAGCCTCCCAAGTAGCTGGGACTACAGGCTTGTACCACCATGCCCAGCTAATTTTTGTATTTTTAGTAGAGATAGGGTTTCACCATGTTGACCAGAATGGTCTCAATCTCTTGACCTCGTGATCCACGTGCCTCGGCCTCCCAAAGTGCTGGGATTATAGGCGTGAGCCACTGCACCCAACCAAGACTCCATCTCAAAAAATAAATAAATAAATAAAAATGTCAACCATTTTTTTTTCAGCACAACTGGAGCTTTTCCACTACAAATCAAGTAAGATCCTAGCAGACTGTCTATCCATTCCTGTCCTTGGAAGACTATGGTCGATTAGCCAATGCCAAAGCTCTGCAGGCCAAACTGCTTTAATGCCTGTCTTGGCTCTGCTGCTCATTACAGTAACTACGCTCACTTTGTCTTGGTTTCTAAGAGCCTCCACTTGGTTGTGGATGCCCTAATGTCCCATTATTCTCATTGCATTAATTCAGGGATCCTATTTTGATAATTGCATTTCCCATTCTCATGCCTTGTCTTCAAAGAATAACCACTACAGAGTACTTCAAGAATGCCAGTGTTCTCATCAAGGTATTTCTCAAAACCTTGGGGAGGGGAGTCCACCAAACTTTGGGAGATTCTACCAAGGAATATAGTTAGCTGATTTTATATTATAAATCCACTCTAGTGTTCTGGATACCTTCCTCTTAAGTATTGGAAGTTCTGACATTTTAGCTTCATTCATGCAAGCCATCTTTGATTTTAAGAGCAAACTACTAAAGCTGGGCATGGTGAAACCCTGTCTCTACTAAAAATACAAAAATTAGCTGAGTGTGGTGGCTCGCGCCTGTAATCCTAGCTACTTGGGAGGCTGAGGCAGGAGAATCACTTGAAGCTGGGAGACAGAGGTTGCAGTGAGCGGAGCTGGTGCCACTGCCCTCCAGCCTGGGCTATAGAATGAGATTCTGTCTCAAGGAAAAAAAAAAAAAAGGCTGGGTGTGGTGGCTCATGTCTGTAATCCCAGCACTTTGGGACCCTGAGGCAGGTGGATCACGAGGTCAGCAGTTTGAGACCAGCCTGACCAACATGGTGAAACCCTGTTTCTTAAAAAAAAAAAAAGCAAACTACTAAAGCCATTTCAAAATAACTCGAACTGATACCTTAAATTCAGAATCTCTGCTTAGTGCACATTTTACTTCCTTAAAATTTTTTTTTACTTGGGAGGCCAAGGCAAGTGGATCATCTGAGGTCAGGAGTTCAAGATCAGCATGGCCAACATGGTGGAACTCCATCTCTATTAAAAATGCAAAAATTAGCCCCGAGTGGTGGCAGATGCCTATAATCCCAGCTACTTGGGAGGTTGAGGCAGGAAAATCACTTGAACTCGGGAGGTGGAGGTTGCAGGGATCCGAGATCGTGCCATTGCACTCTAGCCTGGGCAACAAGAATGAAACTCTGTCTCAAAAAACAATGTACAGTTATTTACTTTTATTTATTTTTAAAATTTTTTTATGGAATGCTTCACGAATTTGCATGTCATCCTTGCGAAGGGGCCATGCTACTCTTCTCTGTATCATTCCAGTTTTAGTATATGTGCTGCCGAAGCGAGCACTCTTTATTTTCCTTTAGAGAGAGGGATTTTCTCTGTTGCTCAGGCTGGAGTGCAGTGAATGGCATGATCCTAACTCACACTGCAACCTCGATCTCCTGGGCTCAGGCGATCCTCCCACCTCAGCCTCCTCCTCAGGTGTGCGCCACAATATAATCTTGTGGAGATGAGGGTGTCGCTACTTTGCCGGTATTAAACTCCTGGCCTCAAGCATTCCTCCTGCTTCAGCCTCCCAAAGTGCTGGGATTCCAGGAGTACGCCTGGTTGCTTTGCATTCTTTTTTTTTTTTTTTTTCCCCTTAGACAGAATCTTGCTCTTGTTGCCGAGGCTGGTAATTTTTTGTATTTTTAGTAGAGACGGGATTTCACTATGTTGGCCAGGCTGGTCTTGAACTCCTGACCTCAGGCGATCCACCCACCTCAGTCTCCCAAAGTGCTGGGATTATAGGCGTGAGCCAACATGCCCAGCCCTGCATTCTTTTATGAATGAGATGGCTAGTCAGATACGGCTACAAGAGGAGCCAGAGAAGAGGCTCAGGAAAACAGAGTTTATTGTACTCCTGGGTCCTAGGGACAGGAAGCATGGCATGCCATGCAGGGCCAAAAAGAAAAGACACTGAGGTGGTCAAAGGGCAGAAGACAAGTATGGGGGAGGTTTAGGCTAGTGCTTTTTGTGGTGGGGGGTTTTGCGGGAAAGGCAAGGCGGAGTAGTTTGAATAATTTCAGTGGCTTTGGGCTATACATTGGTCCCTAATTGACTGGGAGCTGGTACTGGGCAGAGGAATTTTGCCTCTGGGAGTGTATAGGACAGATAGAAGGGGTGTGGGTCTGGGACGGGTTCATTTGCATATCAAAGACAGGCGTCTGGCCGAGCCCTTTGTTATCTCTAAAAATTGGCTAGCCCAGGGAGGGGCAGTCTCTTCCCAGCCAGAAAGGTTTATTTTATTTTATTTTGTTTTCTTGTAGAGACTGAGGTCTTGCTATATTGCTCAGGCTGGTCTTGAACTCCTGGCCTCAAGCATCCTCTTGCCTCAGCCTCCCAAAGTTTTGGGATTACAAGCGTGAGCCACCACTACCTGGCCGATAAAAGGTTTTTCAGGGTGTGCATTCTTTTTTTTTTTGAGAGGAGTCTCCTTCTGTGGTCAGGCTGGAGTGCAGTGACTTGATCTCGGCTCACTGCAACTTCCACCTCCTGGGTTCAAGTGATTCTCCTGCCTCAGCCTCCTGAGTAGCTGGGACTACAGACACACACCATCCCGCCCAGCTAATTTTTGTATTTTTAGTAGAGACAGTGTTTCACCATGTTGACCAATATGATCTCAATCTCTTCACCTTGTGATCCACCCGCCTCAGGCTCCCAAAGTGCTGGGATTACAGGCATGAGCCTCCGGGCCCGGCCCAGGGTGTGCATTCTTATTAATAAATTCAATTAATAAATTCATCCAGGCCAGGCGTGGTGGCTCACCCTGTAATCCCAGCTGGGAGGTGGAGGCGGGTGGATCACCTGAGGTCAGGAGTTCAAGACCAGCCTGGCCAACATGGTGAAACCCCATCTCTACTAAAAATACAAAATTACCTGGGCGTGGTAGCAGGTGCCTGTAATCCCAGCTACTCAGGAGGCTGAGGCAGGAGAATCACTTGAACCTGGGAGGTGGAGGTTGCAGTGAGCCAAGATTGTGCCACTGCACTCGAGACTGAGCAGCAGAGAGAGACTCTGTTTCAAAAACAAACAAATAAATAAATTCACCAAATCCAAACTTATATTTCTTCCATACTGGTCCAACACCTTCAGGATCTGTTCCCCTTCATATTCCCTGACTTTCAGTCAGTATAAATCAGCATTTGAGGATCTTGGTAAAAGGTAAAGGGAATTGTCTGCACTTTTCTTTTTTGTTTGTTTTTTGTTTTTGAGACAGAATCTGGCTCTGTCAGCAGGTTCGTATGCAATGTCACTATCTCGGCTCACTGCAACCTCTGCCTCCTGGGTTCAAGCTATTCTCATGCCTCAGCCTCCCAATTAGCTGGGATTACAGGCACGTGCCATCACAACTAGCTAGTTTTCGTATTTTTGTAGAGACAGGATTTCACCATGTTGGCCAGGATGATCTCAATCTCCTGACCTCGTGATCTGCCCGCCTTGGCCTCCCAAAGTGCTGGGATTACAGGCATGAGTCACTGGACCTGGCCTGTACTATTCTTATAGCTTTGCTGTAAATATGAAACAATGTCAAAAGAAAACATGAATCAATGTATACATTGACAAACTCTCGATATTCTTTTGGTGTGTATGGTACTTCCTCATGAGTCACCTGCGGCCTGCTATGACTTAAATCTCTGATCTAAAAGAGGGGGTAGGGTTGAGTTCCTAGGAGGATCAGAGTACCCTCAGAGGCCACTAGCTCTGGGGAGGTCATCACAGGTTCTTCAGGTAAGGGAAAATTAACTGCAGATAGAGAGGAAGGTCACTTTTTTTGACTAAGGATGGTCAGCCGAATTTAGGGTTTAAGGCAGGGGTGTCCAATCTTTTGGCTTCCCTGGGCCACATTGAAATAATTGTCTTGGGCCACACATAAAATACACTAACACTAGCAATAGCTGATGAGCAAAAGAAAAAAAAAAAGGAAAAAGCAAAAAAGTCGCAAAAAATAAACTCATGTTTTTGTTGTTTTTGTTTTTGAGACGCAGTTTCTCTCTTATTGCCCAGGCTGGAGTGCAATGGTGCCATCTTGGCTCACTACAACCTCAGCCTCCCAGGTTCAAGCGAGTCTCCTGCCTCAGCCTTCCGAGTAGCTGGGATTACAGGTGCGTGCCACTACGTCTGGCTAAGTTTTGCATTTTTAGTGCAGATGGTTTCACCATGTTGGCCAGGCTGGTCTTGAACTCCTCACCTCAGGTGATCCACCTGGTTTGGCCTCCCAAAGTGCTGTGATGACAGGCTTCAGCCACCGCGCCTGGCCTTATTTTTATTTTTTTTAAGGCAGTCTTAAAGTTAGTTTTGGTCTATTTTCCAGATCTTGGGGTGGAAATTTAAAGCCCTTGGCTCATCGTTTTCTTTCTCCAATCTTTCCCCATGTGTAGAAACAACCAACATTCCTCATTATATTCCTGTTTCTGCTAAAATGTTCTACCGAAGCAAATATTTGTCTACCCAAAGCTTTGCCTTCTATAAGCATTTATCACAAGTGATTACAGGTAGAATGTAAGTAACTGTTTACTGCTGGCAACAGTCATGAATGCACTTAAGTTTAATTAGATCAGAGAATCAGTTTCTAATTCTCATCCTTAATGATCTCTCTCCTGAAACCATGGCCAGTACCAGTAAATGTATCAGTGAGGAAGATAGAACCATTACAAATGATGAGATAAGGAATTTATTATGAGGATTATGCTTTACACAGTTGTAGAAGCTGGGGAAATGAAAGACCAAGAGGGCAGAGAATCAGAAGAAGAGTCACCAATGTGGGAAGGGAACTGCATCTGATCACTGACATAGGGCTATGATGAGAAGGCTCATGGAGAGCCACCTGGGCAACCGCCCCCTCTGTGGATCCATCACCAAGTGTCTGATGGTCACTGGTGGTCAACAGCGTCAGGAATTGGCAAGCATTTCTGGACACTGATCAGAGCAAAGCAAGGACAAACTAGAGCTCTAGAGCTCACTAAAACTTCTGTTACCACATCTAACCACAATGACATTTAGAGAATAATACTTGTGGCTGGGTACAGTGGCTGACGCCCGTACAGCACTTTAGGAGGTCGAGGTGGGCGGATCACTTGAGGTCAGGAGTTCGAAACCATCCTGGCCAACATGGTGAAACCCGGTCTCTACTAAAAATACAAAAATTAGCTGGGTGTGGTGGTGCATGCCTGTAGTCCCACCTACTCGGGAGCCTCAGGCAGGAGAATCACTTGAATCCGGGAGGTGGAGGTTGCAGTGAGCCGAAGCTGTGCCACTGCACTCCAGCCTGAATGACAGACAGAGACTCAAAAAAAGGGTGGGGGAGAATTAATGCTATTTTTTTTTTTTTCGAGATGGAGTTTCGCTCTTGTTACCCAGGCTGGAGTGCAATGGCGCGATCTCGGCTCACCGCAACCTCTGCCTCCTGGGTTCAGGCAATTCTCCTGCCTCAGCCTCCTGAGTAGCTGGGACTACAGGTACGCGCCACCATGCCCAGCTAATTTTTTGTATTTTTAGTAGAAACGGGGTTTCACCAGGGTTGACCAGGATGGTCTCAATCTCCTGACCTCGTGATCCACCCGCCTCAGCCTCCTGAAGTGCGAATTAATGCTATTTTTATGTTTGATAATGGCATTGTGGTTATATAAGATAATGTCATTCTTAGGAGTTGGGGTTTAAATATTTACGGGTGAACCTTCAAATGGTTTTATATTTATTTGTATTACATATTAAGTAAATATAACAAAATGTTCCATCGTTGAATTTAGGTGGTGGATCTGCAGATGTTTCAATTTTTCTGTATATTTGAATTTTTTCATGATAAAGTAATGGAAAGTAAAAGACTTCTCTCAATTCCTACCTTCTCCGGAAGGCTTCCTTACCCTCCCATTACCGCTTTAATGTCTGTGCTGCCCATCCTTTTCCTTTCAAGATATAGCTCTGAGGCATATATCCCTCTGTACTTTAATTTCTTGTTTTCTTGTCTCTTCTGCCTCTAAACTTTGAAGTCCTTAAAGGGCAACATGCTCTCTTTCATCTGTAACTGTCCAGCATTTATTCCAGTACCTAGTACAGGATTGGGTGATCCATTCATCCTTGTTCAGTCAAGAACAGAAGAAAGTCTAATTTAGGAATTTTCTTCAGGGCTACCAATTCAAGTGAATCTAAGAAGAGCAACCGTTTGGGGTTTTTTAATTTTTTTTTTTTTTTTAGGAAAGTCTTCTGCCAGAAATTTTTTTTTTTTTTTTTTTTTTTTAAAGATGGGGTTTCACCGTGTTGGCCAGGCTGGTCTCGAACTCCTGACCTCAAGTGATCTGTCTACCTTG